GTTTTTGATTAATTAATGAGACATTAATTAATGTTAATGAGATATTCCCCCCCCCCAGGAGGGCTCAGGGCTCTGGGGTTTTTGGGGTGTCGAGGGGTGCCCGGGTCTCCCTCCTTCTGGGGGGCTGGAAAACACCGAGACCTCGAACCCCAGCCCCCCAGAGCTGGCTGTAAAGTGAGTTTTCAATTAATTAATGAGACATTAATTAATGTTAATGAGTTCCCCCCCCAGGAGGGGTCAGGGCTCTGGGGTTTTCAGGGTGTCAAGGGGTGCCCGGGTCTCCCTCCTCCTGGGGGGCTGGAAAACACCGAGTCCTTTAACTCCACCCCCAGAACTGGCTGTAAAGTGAGTTTTCGATTAATTAATGAGACATTAATTAATGTTAATGAGATATTCCCCCCCCAGGAGGGCTCTGGGGTTTTTGGGGTGTCGAGGGGTGCCCGGGTCTCCCTCCTCCTGGGGGGCTGGAAAATACAGAGTCCTTTAACTCCACCCCCAGAACTGGCTGTAAAGTGAGTTTTTGATTAATTAATGAGATGTTAATTAATGTCAATGAGATATTCCCCCCTCCACAAGGAAGGCTCTGGGGTGTTTGGGGTGTCAAGGGGTGCCCAGGTCTCCCTCCTTCTCAGGAGCTGGAAAGTCAATGAGATATTTCCCCCACCAGGAGGGCTCAGGGCTCTGGGGTTTTTGGGGTGTTGAGGGGTGTCTGGGTCTCCCTCCTCCTGGGGGGCTGGAAAACACCAAGACCTCAACCTCCCCCCTCCCAGAACTGGCTGTAAAGTGAATTTTTGATTAATTAATGAGATATTAATTAATGTTAATGAGATATTCCCCCCCCTCAGCCCCACAGGGACAGTCCTGTGGGACTCTATGAGTTGGGGGGCTCCGGGGAGGAAGGGGGTGTCTGGGTCTCCCTCCTCCTGGGGGGCTGGAAAACACCAAGACCTCAACCTCCCCCCTCCCAGAACTGGCTGTAAAGTGAATTTTTGATTAATTAATGAGATATTAATTAATGTTAATGAGATATTCCCCCCCCTCAGCCCCACAGGGACAGTCCTGTGGGACTCTATGAGTTGGGGGGCTCTGGGAGGAAGGGCTCAGGGCTCTGTGATTCTTGGGGTGTCGAGGGGTGCCTGGGTCTCCCTCCTCTCCCTCCTCCTCCCCATCCCTGGGGGGGGCTGAAAAACACCGAGACCTCGTCCCCCCCCCTCCAGAGCTGGCTGTAAAGGGAATATTTTCACCGAGACACCCCCCAAAAGTGCAATTTCCCCCCAATTAGAGGAGAAATCAGTCCCGTGGGGGCTCCGAAGTGAATCAGGGATTTATTTTCACTGCCGGATTCCCAGTTTCTCTCCTTATTTCTCTCTCCCCCCCCCTCCTTTTATTTTTACCCCCCCAAAAAGTCCTCCAGTGCGCCACCGTCATCGGGTTCTGCTACTGGGCTTCGGAGCTGATCCTCGCCCAACAACAGCAGCACAAAAAATACCACGGCTCCCAAGTCTACGTCACCTTCGCCGTCAGTTTTTACCTGGTGGCGGGGGCCGGGGGGGCTTCCATTTTAGCCACGGCCGCCAACCTGCTGCGCCATTACCCCACCGAGGAAGAGGAGCAGGCCCTGGAGCTCCTCTCGGAGATGGAGGAGAACGAACCTTCCCCCGCCGAGTACGAAGTCATCAACCAGTTCCAACCCCCCCCGGCCTACACCCCCTGAGGGGACAAACTGGCTTTTTTTTTTTTTTAGCCCAAATAACGGCTCCTGGGACCCCCCTCCCAAC